ACATTCACTCTCGAGAGAGAACGCGAGCATGTCATTCCCTTCCTGGACGCCCTAGTCATACGCACACCAAATACCTACCATACCACAGTCTACTACAAGAAAAACCACCCCCCCCCCCAGATACACCTATTATAGGTCACACTGCCCAACTTCCCACAAAATCAACATAGTTAAAGCCCTCACCCGCCGCCTATTAACCCACTGCTCACTCCCCATCTTCAAAACTATTGAAAATAACCGCATCATCTCCCATCTTACAGCTTCAGCTTTCCCTCTGTCCTTTATAGAAAAACACACCTACTCGCCTGTTCCTCTTAACCCCCCTGCAGCCTACAAATCCACGTGTGTGATCCCATTCTCTTCCCTCTCAGTTAACCTCTCCCGTTTCCTCAAACCCTTTGGTATCCGTGCCTTTTTTACTAACACACCTAACCCCCACTCACTCCTTAGGCATCCCATCACAAAAACCGACTCCCCCACTGACCCTCTAACATCTACTGGCGCGGTCTACTCGGTCTCATGCCAACAGTGTCCTGCCACCTATGTGGGTGAGACCGGTAAGACCATCGCCATTAGAATGTCCGAGCACACACGCAACATCACCAACCGAGATCCCCGTTCCCTCATTTTTCAACACATTGCATCTTCTGGCCATTCCTTTGACACTGCCAACCCAACCATTCCCTACAGAAATATCTCCAACCTACACCAAAGATTGGTTCTGGAATCCATTGTTTCCTCCAAGCTACACAGCATAAATAGAAAAAGAGACATTTCCACAATCTACACAACCTACATCTCCAATTGAATCTTTCAGATTCTACCTCTGGTATATTAATAACCCCCCTTCCACCACCTCAGTCACACCGGTCAAAAACGGTTTTTCTCTCACTAATCATTCATAGATGACAGTTCATAGCATAGTCATTAACCACACAAATTTACCCGTAATAATTACTTAGATATATTTAATCATGTAATATCATTGTAATAATTTTTCTAACTCTCTAATTTTTTCAAATATTAACACAATTTTAATTCATTCAAATTCAGACGCGCGAGTAGTCTCACGCGAGTGTGTATATATATCTTTTTGTTTTTGTTTTTCTATGGTTAGCTGATATATATTTACATTGTTTAATACTCAGTTGTTTAGTTGCCTTAATTTACCTTTAATTTTTGTTTTTATTTTTATTTTACCTGTAGAAGGGCATTGCCCGAAAGCTTGTAATGTTTTACAATTAAAAGAAACTCATCTTCTGAAACTTCTTACTTGACATATCTTACTGGAAGAGTCTTTGACCTTTCTTTCTATGTTTAGTTTACCTTTAAAGTGAAAGTTGTCTCTAGGGGGAATAGCGCTCTAAGTCGAAATAAAGTACTGTCAGAAAACAGCTATGTAAATATGTTTTTTGTGATATAGAGTTCTGAGTTATGTAAATTTATTCTATGTGTTTAATCAAGATATATGTAAATAGGTCTTACAATAAATATTGTACTTTATTCAATATAAAGTTTGTGCGAGAGTCAGTCAGTGTTGTCTTTAATGACAGATCGACCTCAGTCAGAATTAGAAAGACGCCATTAGGTCGGACTTCAGGGACCAGAAGAAGTTCAGGACGTCCAGGTGAGACTGGGTGTAGATACGTTTTACGCGACATATAAACATGCTATAGAAAGGTATAACTATATATTTTTATCTATGATTTTTTCTCTTGGTTAAAAAAACCGTAATTGCTAAACTAGGTATTTGTATTTATTTCATTGTTCCTAGGTAGGATGTGGAATCAAACATGATTTTAATGTTCTTTCTTCTTTAAACTTCTACTTAAACCTCGTAATTCACTAATTTGATAAATTCAATAGGGATCTAGCGCTAGGTTTCTTTTTCCAATTTATTTCTTGAGATTTCAGGCTAAGATGTCCTTGTATTCGGCGTGTTATAATTGGCTAGAAGTAATACTTCTAGATCTCCATGTTGAAGGACATGTTAGCCTGAAATCTCAAGAAATAAAAGAATTTTCAAAAGAAACCAAACCCTAGATTCCTTATTGAGTGACGTGTTATAATTGGCTAGAAGTAATACTTCTAGATCTCCATGTTGAAGGACATGTTAGCCTGAAATCTCGAGAAATAAAAGAATTGTAAAAAGAAACCAAACCTTAGATTCCTTATTGAGTGACGTGTTATAATTGGCTAGAAGTAATACTTCTAGGTCTCCATGTTGAAGGACATGTTAGCCTGAAATCTCGAGAAATAAAAGAATTGTAAAAAGAAACCAAACCCTAGATTCCTTATTGAGTGACGTGTTATAATTGGCTAGAAGTGATACTTCTAGGTCTCCATGTTGAAGGACATGTCAGCCTGAAATCTCGAGAAATAAAAGAATTGTAAAAAGAAACCAAACCCTAGATTCCTTATTGAGTGACGTGTTATAATTGGCTAGAAGTAATACTTCTAGGGCTCCATGTTGAAGGACATGTTAGCCTGAAATCTCGAGAAATAAAAGAATTGTAAAAAGAAACCAAACCCTAGATTCCTTATTGAGTGACTTGTTATAATTGGCTAGAAGTAATACTTCTAGGTCTCCATGTTGAAGGACATGTTAGCCTGAAATCTCGAGAAATAAAAGAATTGTAAAAAGAAACCAAACCCTAGATTCCTTATTGAGTGACGTGTTATAATTGGCTAGAAGTAATACTTCTAGGTCTCCATGTTGAAGGACATGTTAGCCTGAAATCTCGAGAAATAAAAGAATTGTAAAAAGAAATCAAACCTTAGATTTTTATTGATTTTGTCAAAGTGTAAAAACATGGAATAATCTTTATTGTATTTCACCAATTGTTTAAACAGAATAGTCATTGAATTTAGTGTTGTTGTTTGATGCAAGCATTCTTTGTGGGGATATCTCGTCTGATTTGATGATGTTGTTGTTGTTGTTGTCGTGTCCAATGAAGAGCCTCAGATGTCTCCATGCACTCCATCACAGCAGCAGCAATGTCCAATATCTTGGGTGAACAAGTCAGCTCTTCAGTTTTCCTCTGGGTGCCATTCATATTGAGCTGTAATAGATTGAATTGTGTCCTCGTAGTAGAATTCTCATCAGGAGCCCAGGCTGCAGCTCCTGACGCGGCGGTTACCCCGGACGCGGTACCATTGCTGGAGATCTTCATTGGAAAATGGGTGCCGTTGCCACGTTAGTCACCTTGGAAACGAACCAGAATTTGGTCGAATATTCCAAGGGTCCAGGGGGGCCACAGTGAGATGTGGTGTACTTCTCTCCCCCCCCCCCCCCTCCCCCTTTTTTTTTTTAATGATAATAATGATAAAAATTCTCCACTGTAACTATCTGAGAACTCTGTGTGTCCGACAAGATGAGCGGCCCCATCAAGAAGACGGAGGATAAAGTGAGACGTGGGTGGGAGGGCGCCTCACACGTCACGCCGTCACTCAGTCGGTATGTGGCTGCCAACCGCGCTGCTGGCGGTAACGACGCTCGGTGCCGCTGCCGTGGAGCACTGGGCTCATCACACCGTGCTTGACCGCGATGGCGATGTGCGGTTGTCCTGGACTCCGGAATCCACCAAAGTGACGTTCAGGCTCGAGGTCCGTACCCTGGGCTACATAGCTCTGGGACTGTCGAAGTCCGGGGCCATGGCTGGAGCAGACATCGCACTGGGCTGGGTGAAGGATGGAAAGCCGTTCTTAGAGGTAGGTCGCTCTACACAGGTTGTCAATCTTTGTCTATCTTCACCATACACAGGTTGTCAATATTCGCCCTAAACAGATTGTCTATCTTTGTTTATCTTCATCCTACACAATTTGTCTATATTTTACACTGCGGCTTGTGATTGTAAAACAACACTTGAAGTTACACCGCATGAGTTTCAAGTGTTGTTTTACAATCACAAGCCGCAATGTATTATATTGCATTATAACTTACTTTATGTATTATTTATGAACGGAAAAATACGTCCAGGGTAGCTTGGTGGACATGACATCTGCCCGGTAAGCGGAACATTGTGGGTTCGATTTCCATTCCCGGACACTTTTATTTTTCCGTTCATCATTACTCTTAATGATTCACCCTTTCATACTCCATCCAAAAAGGGTAGAAATAGTCAATATTCCCCTTTGAAATAAATTTTGATTTTTCATTGAAAAGAAACTCATGCGGTGTAACTTCAAGTGTTGTTTTATAGTTTGTCTATCTTCACCCTAAACGATTTCAACCTGATATGAGTATCATAAATAATGAAATTCGAATTACGTAGAATATATGTCTCCTGGAAATAAGGTATTAGAATCCCAATTAAACATCTAAATTAGGATGTGGGAAAAACAACATTAGCATCAATTAGCATTCATACAACCTTGATGTGATGTACATATTGCCATGTGGATAATTAGGAAAAAACACTTCAGAATAACACAGCAATTTATTTAAGACAAGAACAAACTATGAATGGTTAACAAAAGATAAGCAATGAGGGAAGTTTACAGAGCATGTTTATAGTAGTAACATAAAGGTAACCCAGGCTCCTAGAGCGTGCAATATACACCTATCCCCCGATTTACACGGTACTTATTTTACACGTTTTCGCTTTTACACGGTTTTCTAAATAAGTTTTTTTTTTTGTTTTTATCGCACTATACTAAAATGCGATATTCTACTCTATACTACCTGTGTTGAAAAGAATATTGGGAGGCTCTGATTCATGAGGGGGCGAACACCTATTCAGATTTGACAGTTTAATATACACCTATCCCTCGATTTACACGTTTTTCTCAGGAACATATCTACCGTGTAAATCGGGGGATAGGTGTATTTATAAACAGAATGAACGATGTTAGACAAATTTTATCGCAAATGTTACTTTTGTTTTTTAAACGAAAGATCGTAATTTTATTTTAAAGAGAAATAACGTTTATTTCTAACCTTAGGGATGAAGTATGAAAGGATGAATTGTGAAAAGTAATGATAAACGGAAAAATAAAAGTGTCCAGGGATGGGAATCGAACCCACAGTGTTCAGCTAGAGCCAAATTAAAAATCGAATCATGACTATTGTGCTCTAAATCATAAATTAAATAAAGCACTATATCAAATAAATCACTAAATCACAGTGTTCTGCTTACCGGGCAGATTCCATGTCCACTAGGCTACTTTGGACATATTTTTCCGTTCGTAAATATTATATAAAGTAATTTATAATACAATATAATATAATGCGGCTTATGAATGTAGAACGAAGTTAGACAATCATAAGCCGCATTATATTGTAATATAATAAAATCATACTATAAACTAAAGTGCCGGGAGAAAATGATTTTTTATTAGACGACTACACGAGCTTTCGGGCAGTCACGCCCTTCAACTGGTGGTTGACCAGTTGAAGGGCGTGACTGCCCGAAAGCTCGTGTAGTCGTCTAATAAAAAATCATTTTCTCCCGGCACTTTAGTTTATAGTATTTATATTCCAAGGAGAAAGTTTCTATGTTTAAATAATAAAATCATACTCTGTTAATAATAAAATAAATACTTTTCTACAATATCATTACTTTCACCAGGAACTACATTCAACAACAACCGACACTGACTAGACAGTTCTTGCAGGAAATGCTATATGGGTTATATAGGGCAGAACTATAAAATGTACCTTCAGGAAGCACTTCTTCTTTCTTATCTCCACTCAATCATATCAGGGTATCAAGTTTGTAAAACTTGAGACTTGACAACCATCATGACAGGGTGAAGTAGAATGCGTCTACCTTTGTTATTAAGACTGGGAGCACTACTCAGTGGCAGGCCAACTTAGCTCCAAAAGAAATGGCCGCCTCTGACATACAGCCTCTCATAACATGGAGTACAAACACTGCTCATCCTGTATCCCTGGATTCTTACAGGGTACTATCAGCCAGGCCAACTGAATCCAGGTTGTTTAGTGAGCTTGTTACTGCTCCCCCTTCTCCTTTTTCATCCAGGCTTGGGACCGTCAAAGGTGGAGTAAGGAAGCACTAAAATCAAACATTACATAAATCTTTGGTCAACCCTTAACACATTGATGTTTCTTCCGTGTAAAAAAGTCATAAAAACATATTTATATTCAAATAAAAATTAATAAAAACATGATTAACTGAATTCAATATCTGAATTTATTCAATAGCAAAAAATGTCATCTCTATAAAATTGCCCAGCATTTCAAGATTATAGAATGAAGAATGAATTAGTTGTTTGTGAACTTAACGATTTGATTTCCGATTAAAAAAATCATATTTAAAGTTCAATTCATTTTTTAAATACATTCTAAACTTTCTACAAAAACAGGATCTCTAATGTTTTCATGCGTTGAATAATGTAAATAACTTATGTAAATAAACCTTTCTCCTTTTTTGGCGCAAGTATCCCTTGCGGGATATAGCGCTTTGGAAATAAAATAATTGGAAATATAAAAAGTATTACTCTTCTTAGAATGTGTAACAAATTTATAAAATTTCATAACTTAACAATTTCTGTAGAAAATAGTTCAAATGAGAATCTGTACTTGGAACAGGTGGATAAATTGAGAAAAATGGCATTTCCTGATTGTTCAACTAAAAGTTTCTGAAGCCCGAAACGCCTTTATGGTGAGCTTTTCTTGATTAATCAAGAAACTGTATTTTTCAAATTCTAGAATAATTAAAAATCAACGATTAGTTTATATATATTCCGATAGATGGCGCAAGCCATCAGCAACTTTTAGTTGGACTATTAGAAAATGCCTTTTTTAACAATTTCTATCTTTAAAAAATTGTATTTTTTCCTTCTAAGAATGAAAAGCTTGTCAGTGTATTTTCTCGAAATGTAATTTGTGGACAGAATGACTCGCCAAGCTGATTTTGACTCAATTCACGTGCTCAAGAAATGAACAACATATATAAAATATTTACAAAAACAAACTCTGTGGATAAAATATATATACTAATTTATATAAGAATAGACTATATGTGCATTTATAAATATATGATCAATAACGAAAAACGTATTTTGTATTTATTAATTTAAATTTATGGATTGCGGGTAATTCCTACCTAAGTTTACCATCATTTATTATGAAGGTCAAGTTTATATACAAACCTGAAGTCCAGGGTCAAGTTCGTTCTATCCAGGAAGCTGATTAATCAAAGATTTGAATATTTATCTAAAAATCTGGGCAATGAGCGCATTATCATTTATTTCATATAATCCTACAATTCATCTTCGCAAATGGTTTTTCATCATTTATTCTTCTTTAGTGTTTTATCCAGTGTCTTTAGAATTAAAGAACAAGATGTATATAAAGTACTCCAAACCTTTATTGATACTTGTAAATATTAGTTGAAAATCAAGATACTTCGGCCAGTAAATCTTTTTATTACCTCGACAGTCGCTAACTACCCACCATGATTATCATGGCCTGTACCACGTGTACTAGGGATAAGTAAAAAAAAAAAAATAGACGCGTATGATTCTTTTAAGAATTAAACAATATTGCTACGTGGAAAATTAGGGAAGACAAAAACTTCAGGAGGAGACAACAATCTATTTCAGGGAAGGACAAACTATGAATTGTAAACAAAAGATAAGCCACGAGGGAAATTTACAGAGTCGCAAGATATAAACATAAAAATGACCACTCTGTTAATAAAAAATAATAAAATTAATAAATACTATGTTACAATATTCTCTAATTCCCTTACTACAATGAAAAATTAATAGGAGGGCCTGTCAAATCAATGATAAACCTTCCCAGCGGTTTGGGAAGTGTAATCTACCATTGATTGGTTGTTTTTCAAACATCATTTTAAGAATTTTTGTTACATTTGTGTAAATTTCGATGTAGCTTTAAAATTAGTTTCATTATAGATTTCAAATTAGTTTTTACCTAAGTGTCGAAGTGAAAGTAGAGAAGAAATCAAAGAGGGAAAATCCAGGCAGGAAGAATATTTCCTGTAAGAGGAAAGAATTGCTCTTGGCCCACTTCACTTCAACTGCTGACTCACCAGGTTGTCCCCGTTCACGACGGGGCAAGGTCCTCAAATTTCGGCTTTTATATCTCCTCGGTGCCCTGGATATTGTCCAGTCGCTTTCTCTCTCACCGCGAATCTGGGGATCGTTGGAAGAGAAGTCTAAACCGTTGGTTTGAGACCGCTACGACCCAGGATAGAATCCCGCATTGGACACTTTTTTTCTAATTAAAAAATGTCCCAATGGCCCTCGATTCTTGAAAATTCCAACCCTACCAGCGAGTACAAGTAACCAAACGGGGAACTGGCACATTTGTAAGTGCAAAGTCAAACTGCTTTTCACATGTGTAGACATGTGGTGCACTTACAGTAAAAGCAGTTACCAACCTCTATCTACCATTATCATGGCCTGTACCATGTGTACTAGGGATAATAAATAAAAAATCGCATCTTTTTTTTCTCTTATTCATCAACGATTTATCCTTACTTATTCATACTCAATACAAGTTAAATCCTATCTTCGATATTTCCATGTTTTGAAAATACGAAACTATTATAAACATGTATGATTCTTTTTGAAATTAAACAATTTCTAACTGTCATTAGTGCAATAGAAAAAAATTATAGGGAGGGCCTGGCTCATCAGTTTGAACCGTTAAACTGTCGAAACCGCTGGGAGGGTTCACCACTGATGAGCCAGACCCTCCCTTTAATTTTTTAATTACAGTAAGGGCAGTAGAAATTGTTTAATTTCAAAGAGAATCATACACGTCTATAATAGTTTCAAATATTGATAACAGATGGCATGCTAAGGTATCATAATTTCTATGTTTATAAGTCAATTTTAATTGGGTTGATTCAAATATTTTTGTCAAACAAAAATTTCAAGACGTCTCTATTTATCAAAGTCTAAGAAACTAAGGAATGTGTTTCGAGAGTGCGATATTTTCCTTTAAAAAAGGTAGGGAAACGTTCCTACAGGAAATATTTGTCAGAAAAGACTTGCTTCAAAATTTGTAAAAGATTCATTTTTAAACTAAAAATAAAAGTCATAACGCAAACAAAATTCAGTTTATAAATATATTCTTTATGAACATAACCGATTAGAGAAATATATTGTAACAAAGTATTAATTATTTTATTAACAGAGTATCATTTTTGATGTCTATATTTTGTTACTCTGTAAACTTCCCTCATTGCTTATCTTATATTTTATCATTCATAGTTTGTTCTTGCCTTAAATAAATTGCTGTGTCATCCTGAAGTTTGTCTTTCCTAATTTTCCACGTGGCAATATTACATGGCATATACAGTTACAGCTTTGCAGGGTCATCGACCTTGGTTTCTTCCTTCTTGGTGTTATACACCGAGCGGGTTTTCATACTTAAAGCAAATGAATAAAAGTAAATAAATAAATTACCTTTTAAAGTTATTTTGTTTATTTATTCTTCCTCGTAGGTCGTGATCCTCAGTCTTGGTCTAGGTCCTCTCTCGCTCCAATAACCAATCAAGATATATGTACAATAAAATATTACAAAAAGAATGAAACTATAAAAAGGAATGATGATAATCTAAATAAATTAAATTTAATTGCCATCTATCGTTAAAATTTTACACAAATAAATTTACCGACAATGCGTTTCTTTTAAATATCATCAAATAGAGATACTCAACTGTAGAGATAATATTTGATTATATTTAAAAGAAACGCATTGCCAGTAAATTTATTTGTGTAAAATAATCTAAATAATCATTTTTAAAAAATATTAAATATCATAGAATATTTTGAATAAATGTAGGGGGCATTAAAATTGATGCAACAATATATTTCAAAATAAAGTTCTTCTTTAATGGATAATAGACTAATAAAAGTTTCTTTCACCTATTAGAAAGGACCTCATACATCTGGTGCTACACAAAGGATCAGATTATGGGGTTGGGTGCCCCAAACACGGTCATTATTATCTTAATTAATCCTCTTCAGGGACGCACCTCCCGCTCATCTCTTTTTATGATGGATTTATCAAATTCCTTAGTTGATAAGGTCGCACGACATTGAAGCATCCACCTTATCCTTTTTTATGTATTGAACGTGTGTTTGAAGGTTTAAAATGTTCATTCTGTTGTCTTTTAATGTGCTAATCAAGACAATCTCTCTTCGTTTTGATTCTATAAGTTACTTTTAAGA